ATTATACAACCTGCCTTTTAATGAGACCTCCTCAGTGTACCTAAGAGGTATGCTGACACTCATTAGATTTAACACGTCTCAACACCACTTGGAGAAGGTAGCATTACTCAAATGAAACAACACATTCTGGCACTATTACACACACACACACACAAACACACACAAAAATTGTGAAATATGCCAGACACATGAAAAGGGACTAATCATAACATAATAGTTTCAGCTTATCACTTTCATGCTATAAGAATGGAGCCCACTAACTCAGTTGCTGAAAGGCTGGACACCAGCGTACATCTTCTCCTTTAAAGGGGATTGTTTTCAGAACTGTTTTAAATTTGAAGTGTCTTGAGCATCATCATCATAAGAGAAATCCCAGTGAATAGAGGTGACGGATCACTCATCCACTTCCACTGGCTTGAGTCCTCGCACTCAGACACAGCTCCCAGTGTGTGTGTAAGTGTACAGATTCACTTTGAAACTTACTGGACATGAGTTTCTTGAAGTCGTTAGAGGCCTTGATTATGGTATTTTCAGAAATGTTTTGCTGCCTTTTGCAACCCCCAGTGCAGTGTTCACATGCTTCCCTCAACTCCAGCCTCCCAGGCACTTGTCAGGTTGGTTCTCTCAACCAAACACTTAATAGACAGACAGCAAGCCTGAGAGATAACCCCTGTTGGCCATCCATGTTTAAGAAATTTCTGGGAGGAGGCCCCTATGAAGTAAGGAGATAGTTTGTCTCATGTCATCTGCTGACTCCCGGGGCCCAAGCAGCCTCATCCTTTCTGCTGATGTCACAGGAGAACCTACCAGTTACCAGAGTTGTTGCCCTGGTTGTAAATATTTTCTTCTTTCAAATCTTAATTTTACTGAGTATTTTGTTGGAAGCAAATATCCCTAATAAAATTGGAGGAGGGGTGGGTGGATGTTCAAAGGTTCAAAAGTTAGTTGGCTGTTCTGTTTTGTAAATGGAGGTGGAGTGCTGGTGGCCTGCAGGTGGTGGACCAGTCCACTCTTCAGATTCTCTCTTAGGCACTCCTGACACTCACTTGGCTTTACAAACTATTCTCTCAGGTGTTCAAGTCTCTCTTTTGGTTAAGCCTGTTAGTAAGCTATACCTCACTGTTAGCTGCTTTAATTGCATAATTATAGACTTGTCCTCAGATAAGTAAGAGAGCAGAAGTACAGCTGAAGATGACCCTGTGAATAGTAATTTAAAAAATTTTAAGGATGGTATCTTTAAATATGCTAGGTAACATGATGCTAGGTAACATCCCACCCTGAGCCTGAGTGCCTACAAAAATAATTGCTCGTTTCTTGCAGCTCTGAGCATAGCAACATGGGAGCTCTTCAGTAGTCTCAATAGAGTCACTCCTGTGGCTATGATTATCTGAGCTCAGTAGAACTGGAGGAGGGGGCTCATTCACACAACTGGGAGCTAGCCTGGCTGTTGGCAAGGCACCCTGGTCCTTCTTCATGTAGCCTGTAGGTAAGCATCAGCCTAGACAAGCCTTCTGCACAGCAAATGATCTCAGGCTCCCAGGAGAGGGAGAGGTAGAGGGAGAGTTACAAGACTTCTTAGGCCTGAGCTCTGCACATACCACATGATATCACTTATATGTGGTAGATACAGAAATGAACAAACAAAACAAACTCTCAGACTATAAGGACAAAATAGTGGTCACCTAAAGGAAAGAGTGTGGGGCAGTGAATATATTGGGTACAGGGAAACTAGACTTTTGATGATGAACATAAAGTAGCATGTACAGATGGTGATCTATACACCTGAAACCTATATAATGTTATAAGCCAATGTTATTTCAACTTAAAAAATAAGGCTTCAGCCGTAGGACTCACATAGGGGTTCTTTCTCCACTTTCTACTGGTCAAAGCCAGTCACAGGGATGGAGGAAAAGACTTATCACATTATCCAAGCAAGAAAGAGGCTAATTGAGGGACATTTCACAGAGACAAGCATGAGGTCATCTGGTAGACCTATTGGGTAGAGGGGGTGGTGTCCCTGCAAGTGCAAGGGACATACTTTGAGCATCTGTTGTTATTACTGACATCAACACTGCATAAAAACAGGATTTGTTTAGAAGACTGGAAAGCTCAGTCATCACCATTCCAAGCACTCTTACTGACCTAATTGGAATAAGGAAAATAAACAGGGAGCATCAAAAAGAAGAGAAATAACAGTTTGCAACTAAGTGGGGTGGGAAGTTCTAAATCCCTCTCCTCCCTGCCCTGAAAATTCATGTGTATTTTAAAATTTTTTTTATTTTTGTATAGAATTGGGATGTAAGCCAGAGTGTCAGAGGTGAGAGGACAGAGTGGGGACCAGAGCAAGTGGATCTGCTGAAATACACTGCTAAGCGGAGCAGCATGCAAGACAGGAGAGATCTGCTTCACCTGTGGGTTAGCTCCCTGGCCAGGGATCAAACTCAGGCCACAGGATTGATAGTGCTGGTACTTAACCTACAGGCCATCAGAGTGGCCCTGAAAATTTACATATTAAACCATCCACATACTACCCTTGGAAGGTTAAGTGCTTCAGCTTTCTTTAGATATTCTCAAATCCCATGGGATAGTCATGCAGTAGTTCCAGTTGATCCTAAGTTTTTCCTGTTTGTTAGAGTAGTGCTACCCATGTCTTGGATCTGTTCTTTTAAAATGTTTTGTCAAGAATTGACAACTTGTTCATATTCTTATTTTTTAATGGTTACCTCTTCCTTGGTGGTTTTAAGATGGTGACTTTTCTTTATAATAGAGATGTATGAGCTTGGGGTAATTTGTCCAGCACAAGTGGATCACAAACTTGCAGGAGCAGGGGGCCCCAAAAATATATGCCACCTATATTGATATTATGCAGTGTGCATAATAAAACTTTAGTAGTCTTTGTTTAGTCTTCTAGGGTTCTCAGGTAATAAAAGCATGGTAATTATGAGAACCATGTTCTATTGGCTACCTAAGTTTATTTTACAGAGGGGGTTGTGTCCACAGTGGGGACCTCTAAAGCACTAATGCCCAGCCTAACAGAGAAGGACTCCAGGGCATACACTATCAATGACAGAATGACAGTATTATTGTGCTTAAGGCAGAGGAGAGAGGACACCTGCAATCAGAATCAACCTTGTCACACCAGGAATACAATCTGATCCTTCAATCTAGATGCTACTAATTTGGGGCTCCTTCTTGCAGTCCATGATAAATTTTTAGAAAGTCCTCCCAAATATAGGCTTAGAAAGAATTTTAGCAATCAATATATGGTCTCCCCAGTCAATAGCCTTTCCTCTTTAGAGCATCAGTGGAGGGCTCACTCCCTCAACACTTAAGAATGAGAAAACCTTCACCTGTCATTGAATACATTAAAAAAAAAAAACTTTTCTTTTTAAAGTTAAAAAAAAAATGTTGACTAGAAGTCTGGCTTCTGCAATTTCTACCTGTGGGCCCTTATTCTGTGGTGGGCATCACAATCCCAAACTTCTGCTCCATTTAACATGCCTTCACATAATTGAGTTTCTCCCATTGTTAAGTACAGGACAAAAATTGGTTGACATTCATAAGGCAAACCCAAAGGAAAAATCATCTTGAATAATGGTATTACACGAGGCAGAAGGTATAGAGACTGTGCACAACATCTCCTGGTTTTCACTGTGTGGTTACAGACGTTGAGAGTTGACAGATTAGTCAGGGACTTGTCAAGAGTATTAATTACAAACTTTGAAATCTTGGTCAGTGAAAGTTCATCGTAGTGCATCTTGCAAATGTGATCAAAGTCTTTTCAGTACTGATTTGATGGTGCTTAACCACAGTGTGTGAAGAACGAAGTTTTTCATTAAAAATTACTAACGCGATGAGCACATTTTAAAGGTAGGCGTATTTTTGGACTATTAGCATTCATCATCTTCCTCCACTACCCGCCCCCACCCTTGGGGACCGCCTCTCTCTTCTCTGACCACCTGAAATGGCACTCTGGGCTGCTGCAAAGCAACTGTGGTCTTCAGAGCATTCATATAGCTCAGTGCTGACCACCGTGATGACAAAGGTGGGGCTGGTGTAAGTGATGTTTTTAACCATAAAAATAAACCATAAAAACCTAGGGGCTAACTGTAATTTGGTGAGTGAAAGAAATCTATGTCTACTGAAAATATGAAAAATGGAGGAGTAAAATGTGTAGCTGGTTTTGGGAAGGGGAAGTAACCTCTCTGCCCTGTCTTTGTTGAGTTTAAAAGTAATCTATTATTTTTAGTTACTTTGGGAGCGTGTGTGCTGGGGGAGGTGGATAAAAATACAGTCACACTTAAATCATGGAAAATAAAATAAAGTATGCCTAGTACAGCTCCTTGAAGGCATGGGCTGAATCCCATCCTCTCTACTGAGAGGTCTTATTTGTGCCTTCCAAGGGTTCTGTCAGCGGAGGGCTTCCTTGGTGTTCGATTAACTGCGGGTAGATTCTTTCAGCTGCCAAGTAGAACGGTGTCAGTGCCGGGTCTGGGCCTCACCCCCCACTTCCCCCAAGACGCTGTGTCTGCCTTTCAGGTACCTAGCGTTGACCTGGAAGGCACTCGTCCTGGGAGAAGCCAGGCAGGTCTCTGTTCACCTGTTGTGAGCTCTTCCTGTTCAGTTGCTTCAGCACACCAGAGGGTGGCACCCCAGCCACTTCAGAGGTGGCCAGGAGGGGAAAAGAGGGGACTGGAGGAGAGGGGGAAGTTTTTCAGACCTTGGTTCCGCGCTGCAGTTTTTGTGGTGTGTTCCCCACTTTACAGAATCAGTAGACTTTTGCTGATTAGGTGCCACAAAATTAGGAATTTCTAAAATGACAAAGACTTGTGGGGGTTATGCATGATCAAAGACCTCTCCCCTCTTGGATCCCATGAAGTTCAAGAGGCTTTGCAACTGGGTGTGCTGTGCGGGTCCTTGGGGTGGGCACAAGGCTCCTGGCATTAGGTAGCTGGGAGCGAGCACCCATCTGACCTCTCTCTTGGCGGTGTGTTTTGCAGTTGCTGGATTTGTGCGACTCCGTGAAGGACGATGCCCTCAGGGTGATCTCTGCCTTTAACATTCCTCACGTCTTCCTCCACGCACCTATCGCTGGAATCGCCAACTCCTTGGCTGCCTGGGCCTTCTACCCTATGCCGCAGCAGCCGGCCTGGAGAGGGACGCGCTCCCAGCAGCCTAAGCTGGGAGCCAGGTTATAGCGGACATGGCGGGAAGGGTGGTGGCCCGCCCGCAGCTGCCGCGGTACCATCTTCTCGGACGTGGAGAGCGAGTGTCGAGGCCTCAAGGGCTCACGCTGGGACTTGGCCCTCGGGGATTTTGGCTGAGGAGCGGGGGTAGGGTTGAGGCTGGCAAGGCAGGGGGCCGGCTGTAGGGAAGGGGAGAGCTAACCACCTGGGGAGTTTGGCGCTTTCTACTCTTCCTTTAACCGCGCCTGCCGACCCTCGAGCTCTCCACCAGATTCCCCGGACAGAGTCCCCTGCAAGCGCCCGCTTAGCCAGGCGCCACCGAGAGTTTCCTACTCTCATCCATGACTCAGATTCCTAGTGAGTTTGGAAAATCGGCGCTGGGTGGAAAGCAAATCAAAGTATAAAAATATTAACACTGCGGGCAGAGTTTCAGTTTAGCAAGTGATGCTTTTCCAGTGAATCAGACCCTTAGGGTTCTGCGAGGAAAAGCTTGGGCAGGAAGAGGGGAGTGTGAGCGCAGTGTTGTTCTAGGCAAATCTTGAACTCGTGCTTGCCTTCCCAGGCAGGCGGCTTCCGGACTGCAAAGCGACGCGCGGAAAACATTTCTACCACTCGAAATTGTAATTTGTTCTTTGGAAGACCGTAGACACAAAGTTCAATAAAGAAATTAAAGGATGGGAAGGCGTTCCCGATGTTGCAAAGGACGGGAGGCGGGTAATGACTGCACTTTAGGTCGGCTTTGCACTTGGGGAAAGTTCTCCTTCGATGTGAGTATTCCCGTGAGGGCCGTCGAGTTCCCAGTTGCTAGACTCCCTGTTACCAGAACTTAATTCTTGGTCGTTTTGCTCAGTCCAAACCCTACTCCTTCCACCCTCTCCACAAGGCAGAGGCGGGAGGGGGCATACTGTCCACAAGAGCGACCTCACGACCAGAGCGCAGATCTAAGCCCGCTTGCACTTCACATGCTGTCCCTTCTCTGGACTAACTCCGAGGTCCCGAAGGACCTCCAGGCTTCGGGACTGGGCCACACCCGAGACGGGTCGCTCGCCGAGCTCCCCAGGACTCTGGGATGCATAAACAGGAGCCTGCAAGCCGGTCTAATTGTGCCCCAACTAGGAGCGTTCTGCCGGTTGCTTTCCCCGACACCTCTGTGTTTTTTCTTTCTTTCTTTCTTTCTTTCTTTCTTTTTTTTAAAGTGTGCTCACAGGGTCTCTAGAGCGGACGATGCGGGGGTGGCGGAGCTGCACAGGAGCAGACCACAACCACCAGCCAGGGTGTTTTTCTGCGTGGTTCTTTTCCGGTCTATGTCTGCGTCGCCCGACCCTATCGAGAGCGCGGAGCATTCCGGCGCGCAGCGAGTTTGGGGTTCCCGGCGAGCGCAGCAGTTTCCGTTGCTTTTCTCAGGCGGTCACGCCTAAAGGCGAGGGCGCAGTGTTTGCCAGCGGGCCACCGACCATCCCAGACTAGAGCTCCAAGCGGAGCCAGGATAGACCTCCGGCTTCTATGTCCTTTCCCTCCTGCTGCGAAACCCCAGGCGGCGCGAGTTCTGGCACCCCGTGAAGGACCTATGGCCTCCTTCACTTCGCTGAGGATTCGCGGGAGGATGTGTGGAGAAGACTTATAACCAAAGGTCGTGCGGTCACGTTTTCGTCGTCTGCTTAAAAATAAAAACTGACCAAGGTGGCCCCCAAACCGGACAAAGCCTCGCTGTCTGACTTCTCTGCACCGAGGCTCCTTCCTTCTCTGTTCCAGAGTGCTGGTTAGGGCGAGTTTCTTTACTCGTCTATACTGGACTCCCCCGCAGGGCGGGATGTTTCATCTACCCACTGTCCTCCCCCCAACCCACCCCAAGCCGCAGCAGTCTCAAAGCCCAGAGCGCGCTGGGAGGGGCCCAAGTGGGCACCGGCATTTGGAGGGCAGACGGGGGTGTGGGACCGCTGCAGGAACTTCTGCGCCGGCGGAGTTCGGGCTTCTGGAGAAGGTGCAGGAGTGGGTCTCGGATTCCGAGGTGGAATGATGGGGAGTGGAGGGGGACCGCGGGGGACAGGGTCGGTTTTGAGCCCTCTTTTTGGCTCTCCAAGCGCTACCCGAATCTTGCAGCGCCGCCGCCGCCTTCTCTGATTTCAGTACCGGGAGAGAGGGTTCCGTGTTCCCATCTACCCCCACCCGGTTCTGAGAGCCCAGCAAATCTTGAGGGTCCGAAATAGGCGGAGACACCATCCTCTTTCCCACCTGGAGGCCGTCACTCTTCTCGGTCATTTTCTTTCTTTCTTTTTTAAAGGAATGTTTTCAATTTTTTTTCTGTTTCATTTGCTCTGAGCGCACGCCTTTCTCGCCCCGCGCGCGCGTTGCGCAGAGACGCCTCCGGGGATTGCTCCTTGTCCTTTAATAAACGCTCCCCCCTTAAAGGCTCTTACCGAAGTTTCTGCGCGAGAGAAAAGCCAGGTGCCTCAATAGGTGGCACCAGGAGGGTGCCAACGCGTACAGCACGAAAGAAGCACGACGAAGATGAGCGGCTAGAGATCGGTTCCCACCCCCGAGCCCCGGAATCTCGGAGAGGGCAGAGCTCCGAGATCCCTGTTCATCCTTGGACGCGCGCGTTCTGGAGAACCAACCAAATCTGTCCCGAGCGACTGAGAAACTCCCGCAGCAGAACTAGGGCTCAGGGGCGCCTCTTGAGGCTTTCTGCGGGCGGCGGTTGCAGGGCCTGGCTCACCAGTGTCCGGAGCGCCCCCTGTTTCACGCTCACACCGCGGTGACCACTGAGTGAGGTGGAGGTGAGGGTACACTTCTGGGTGGGGGATGGGTGAGCAGTTTGCCGTCAGCAATTCTAGACTGCGTTCAACAAACCAGCCCGGCTGGGGCCAGGCTGGCAGTGCGCCACCCCCGCGTATACCTGTCGGAGCCTGCACGCGCCGGCGGCCCGGGGGCCTCGGGGGCGGGGCTTGTCAGCCCGCGCGCCGGGGCGGGACTTAGCGGGGGCGGGGCCGGCGGTGATTGGGTCCGGGCGCGCGGCCACCAGCCTGAGCTCCGCTGCTGGGTCGCGCAGGTTTCACTTCGCTCATCGCAGCCGCCAGGTCTCGAGCTAGTCGGAGCGCTCCGTCCCGCGTCCCCGTCAACACCGCCACCAGTTTCTTGCAGCCGCCCTGCGCGCCCTGGCCCACTGCGGCCAGCATCGCCTCGGGTCGCTCGATTTGCCCCGCTCAAGCCGCCACCGCCTCGGCGCCTTTCCCCTGGCCCTCGTCCCCCCAATGTCTGACTCTGACTCTCGGACTGAGAAACGCAAGGTAAATACCTCCGAATTTGGGGGAGCGGGCGGGGTACGGGTGGAGGACCGACGTAGGCCGCTGCACGACTCCACCTCCTGCCCGTTTCCCGCGCACGTGCAGGCAGATGCACACTTACCTGTCCTGCACGTCGGCTAGCGGGAAGCGGCGACCGGTGCGGGTTCCTTCCCTTGGGAAGATCCTCTCGGGGAGGAGTCGTTCGCCCGAGGCCGCGGGCACTGGACGAAGTGCGGCTCCAGTGGGGACGCGCGCGGCGGGGAGGGAGGGGAAGCACCTCCGGGACCACTTGGGGGGAGCGCGCCTTCTCGGCGCTGGCCTGGGAACCGTGGCCCAGCTCCACTGCACTGGCTGGGCGGCGCGCCGGGTCGGGAAGTCTCGCTGCTTGCCCGCCCCCGACACCCCCCTAGCTGCCGCCCTGCGGTACGAGCGGGTCCAGCGACTTGGTTTTTCCCGGGCGCGGAACCGTGGTGGTGATTTAACTGACAAGACTCGGCTTTTCCTTTTACTCATTCAGGCCGAAGTTTCGGGCAGCTGCTGCGTTTGCCCTTTCCGACGGGTCGGGAGGCCCTGCCCGGTCTGCGGGTGCCTTTCGGACCATGCCAACCGCAAGATCCGCAGACAGCTAGAGACCAAGGGCCTCCTCCGAGTGCTGGGGCCACTCGCTGGACAGCAGAACCTGCTCGGTCCGTGGGGGCTGGGTTGTCGTGGCGTTTCGGGCTTGCTCGGGAACACCCTGATCCCTCGTGTGCTGGTTGGCGAAGCCGTGCTTTCGGGGGCCTGTTACTCCAGGTTGCCGCTGGTACTGGAAGACCCAGCAGGCGCCGGGGATAGGAGTATGGATATGTTGCCCGCCGTGGTCACGGGTGCGCGCGGATATGCACGCCGATGGCCAGTGGCGGTCGCGCGGAATTGGTGCGTGTCCGCGGCGCACGGGGAGATGGAGGAAGTTGCAGGAGAATGGATGCTGCAGCTGGGGTGGGTGCAGGCTTTAAGGTCCTCACCCCAGCGGGCCAGGACGGGGGTGGAAGGTGGGGGGCGGGGTGAGGTGGTCGGGCTCTGGGCTGAGGGCGGCCCTGCGATCCAAGGAGATTGCGGGTCCTTGCTTTGTCTCTGGTGACCGGCCACTTGGGGTGGCGGGAACTGCTCTGGCGCACGCAGCGTTCCGATGGGCGCAGGGGGTGGGGCGTCGCGGGCTAGCCGGGGTAGCCCTGGGCCCCGAGGGCCACCTAGCCTTCGCCAAGGCTGCCGCCGCCGCCGCCGCCGCCGCCGCCACTGCCCCGGCCGCGTCCGGAGGCGAGTTTGTCAACAATCGCCTCGCCTTTGGCGGCCTGACCCATAGGCGCCGCCCCCGGCGCAGCCAACGATTGGCTGCGACGCGGAGCGACCCGGCGCGGGCCAATTGGGAGCGCGGGCACCCGGCGCCAGCGGCGCGGGGAGGTCG